AAGCTATAATAAGGAATCTTCCATGATAAGAAATAGGAATGAGGAATTTCTTTATTAATCTTATTTATATTTGTATTGTTATTATTATTTATTATTTAACTTCTGTTGATTTTCTATTTATTCACATGTATTTACTTTAGTTTTTAACAAGTAGATAGGCAGGTCCACATCAGGACTTCAGTCTTGCGTATTCTGTAACCTGCGTTACCAAATAAACTATGTATGTATGTATGTATGTATGTATGTATGTATGTATCACGCTCGTTGCTTTGCAAAAATTGTTTTACAACCTTTGAGATTTGTGTGGGATGTTTATATTATTTATTTGCTATCAGAGAAAATATTGGATTTCTAAGGTATGTGACAATAGCCATCTTGTTTGTGTTTGGAGTTTATTTGTTTTGTGGCCAATAGTACAGTGGAGCAAAATGTCTGTTCGATCAGTGCCTGTTGCTGACAAACTTGAACAACAAAATGTCCAGGAAACTCTGTCAGAGGGCAGACTTGGAACCCAATTAAGAAGAAGTTCCTGACTTAAAGTACCATCTAATACAGATTCTGAAAGTAGAACAGCTGAGAGGGCAAATACATTGAAATATTCCTGTGCAGGTTATGTTGCAACCCTCACGAGACTGCGAGGGAACATTCAAGGCATAATTGAGAACTGTGGAACTTTGGAGGACTTACAATTAAAGCGAGATTCGTATGAAGAAGCTTGGAGGAGATTCGTGAACACCCATGAAGAGTACATTGAATGTCTTGATGTTCTTGGTCGTTCTGAAGAAGTTGAAAGGGCTGACGCTAACTACAAGGAGCAGATGTCAAAGAAAGCAACATTTGACAATGAAATTGAAACATGGAAATTCCAAGTCACATCTAGTATTAAGAAACGAGAGAATGACTTAAAATCCTATCCAAGAAAGTCAAGGAAGAGTACGAAAAGTGGGTCAACCGGCTCAAGTTCAGCTTCATTAGCAGTGGCGAAGAAGAAGGAAAAACTTGCCCTAGCCGAACTGAAGACCAAGCAAGTGCTGCAGGAACAACAGTTACAGCGCAAACTAAGTGAGCTTCAATTTGAGAAGGACATGTTGGAGGCTAAGATGGAGGAAGAGCGGGCTAAAGCGAGTCTTAATGTGTATGAAGAGTTTGAGAATCAATGCAGGAAGAGTCAGTATAGGGAGCGTTTAGCAGAGTTTATACCTGAAGAACCCTTACATCCACATGGGAATCAGGCACAGAATGTGGCTCAGTCTCAGTTAATTGAGCCACACGAACAACTAGTACAAGAGCTTGCACCTCTGGAGCAGGTACCTGCATTAAGAGACAACGAGAGAATCATGAATTCACCTGCTAAGACATTTCAATCAGCAAGCATTACAGTGCCCAACCCAGTGTTCTCAGGAACCGAGCNAGAAACGAGAGAATGACTTAAAATCCTATCCAAGAAAGTCAAGGAAGAGTACGAAAAGTGGGTCAACCGGCTCAAGTTCAGCTTCATTAGCAGTGGCGAAGAAGAAGGAAAAACTTGCCCTAGCCGAACTGAAGACCAAGCAAGTGCTGCAGGAACAACAGTTACAGCGCAAACTAAGTGAGCTTCAATTTGAGAAGGACATGTTGGAGGCTAAGATGGAGGAAGAGCGGGCTAAAGCGAGTCTTAATGTGTATGAAGAGTTTGAGAATCAATGCAGGAAGAGTCAGTATAGGGAGCGTTTAGCAGAGTTTATACCTGAAGAACCCTTACATCCACATGGGAATCAGGCACAGAATGTGGCTCAGTCTCAGTTAATTGAGCCACACGAACAACTAGTACAAGAGCTTGCACCTCTGGAGCAGGTACCTGCATTAAGAGACAACGAGAGAATCATGAATTCACCTGCTAAGACATTTCAATCAGCAAGCATTACAGTGCCCAACCCAGTGTTCTCAGGAGCCGAGCATAGAGTTTATGTTGATGAAGCTGGAACAGGTAAACATACAGAGCAACCGAATAACGCAAAGGACAGTGAAGCATTGAGAAATCCACCTGTAAATCCATCAGTGCCAAATTTATCACAACAAGTACAGACACCATTAACAACCCACTTTAACACCAAAGAGTACTCACAATGGTCAACTCAGGTACCCTGGTCCCAGACCCCTGGTGCAGTCCCAGCAGAATGTTATATGCGAGAACCAGTATCAGTGACACCAGATAGCAGAGTAGAGATAGTACAAGCACTGCGTCAAGTTGTTTCTGCCCCAAGGATTGAGTACATGAGATTCGATGGAGACCCTATAAAGTATGTCTCGTTCATGCACAATTTTGAAACCTGCTTAGAGAAAGATAACCCTGACAACTCCAGGAGATTACAGCTATTAATCCAACACTGTTATGGCAAGGCAAGGGATGCCATTGAAAGTTGTGTGAATCTACCGGTAGACGAGGGATATTATGTAGCAAAGAGTACCTTACGCGGAAACTTTGGACTACCTCACATCATAGCCAAAGCACATATCAAGAAGTTGGAAGACCTACCTCCCTTGAAGCAGGCGGATGGACCAAGTTTACTTGAATTTGCCCGCCATTTAGATGTTGCCAATAGAACACTGTCAGGCATGGGGCCTGAATACGTCAGTGATTTGAACCACACAAATACGTTAAGGGAACTGAACAAGAATTGACAGCTGCAGTCATCTCCGTGAAACTCTCTAAGATTATCCGTGAAGAATTGGATATGAACTTCCAGAAAGTGTTCTACTGGACCGATTCAATGTCGGTGTTGAAGTGTATGAATAACGAATCAAAAGGATTCCACACGTTCGAATCCAATCGTTTGACGGTGATACATAATGGATCTTCCCACTCCGAGTGGCATTATGTAAACAGAGATAATAATCCTGCAGATGATGGCTCAAAGGGACTTAAATTGGATGACATGTTAAAAAATGATCGTTGGTTGAGAGGTCCGGAGTTTCTCTGAGGAAATGAGAGCCTCTGGCCAAGGATGGTTGAAATTCCAGCATTGAAAGATGACGACCCTAAAGTCAGGAAGGAGACTCAGATTTACACCGTTGTTGTTCAAAGTAAATACCTGGAGCCCTTAATAGCACGCTACTCGTCTTGGTGGAAGTTGAAAAGGGCTGTAGCCTGGCTGTTGCTGTACAAGGTGTACCTTTTACTGAAAGTTCAGCTGAGTAAGAGGAGCGCTTAAGTTTCGAGTGAATCCCAAGTCCAGAGCGGCGAAGTGCCATTCGTGAAATATGGCTACTTGAAGGTGGCAGAGCTTCAGGAGGCCGAGAAGGAAATCCTCAAGGAAGTACATCAAGTGTCTTTCCCTCAAGTCATCGAGGTTCTCTCATCAGCAGGAAGTTGCGATGCAGATGGTTGTGTTAAAAGGGTCCTTCGAAAGGCAGACGGCGTTGCATCAGCTCAACCCACGCTTAGAGGATGGTTTGCTGAGGGTTTGTGGCCGACTAGCACTTGCCCCGGTTCCTTATGAGAAGAAATACCCTATTATCCTTCCCTACAAGCATCATGTGACGGATCTGATTATCAAGCAGTATCATGAGAGTTTGGGTCACATGGGTCAAGAATGTGTTTTGTCTTCTTTAAGAGAAACATTCTGGGTGGTCAAAGGAAGGTCAGCAGTACGACGAGTGTTAAGGAGATGTATAGACTGTCAGCGAAGAAACACACGCCCGGGAGAGCAGTTTATGGCAAATTTACCTGAAGAGAGGCTAACCCCTGACAAGCCACCATTCACATTTGTTGGTGTCGATTATTTCGGGCCGATTGAAGTAAAGCAGGGCAGATCCCATGTGAAAAGGTATGGATGCCTATTTACGTGTTTGACAATGCGAGCGGTCCATATAGAAGTGGCCCATTCCTTGGACACTGACTCAATGATAAATGCACTCAGAAGAATCATCAGTATTCATGGTTGTCCTGAGCAGATAAGAAGTGATTGAGGTACAAACTTTACTAGCACAGAAAGGGAGTTAAAGGAAGCCATAGAGGGATGGAATCAGCAGAAGATCAATAGTTTTTGTGGACAGAAGATGATAAAATGGATTTTCAATCCACCAGCGGCGAGCCACATGGGCGGCATCTGGGAGCGGATGATACGTTCTGTACGCCAGATCTTGCGAGCAATGTTGAAGGAGCAGGTAGTCTCCGATGAGGTCCTCTCAACCGTTTTGGCAGAGGTGACGAATATTCTCAATTCCAGACCCCTCTCAAGAAATAGCGACAGTCCTTTAGACGAGCAACCATTAACCCCTAATCATTTGTTGCATCTGCGCCCGTGCCCAAGTGTACCTCCAGGGGTCTTCGACAAGGACGACCTCACCTGCAGACGTGCTTGGAGGCAAGCGCAGTATCTTGCCAATTTGTTCTGGCGTAGGTGGACGAGAGAGTACCTGCCCACTCTGTTAGACAGGAAGAAGTGGACTGAGCCAAAAAGGAATTTACAGATTGGTGACTTGGTGCTTGTAGCAGACGAAACCTTTTCCAGAGGGAAGTGGCCGCTTGGAAGAGTTGTGGAAGTTATTGCGAGCCGCGATGGGTGGGTGCGCACAGCGAAGGTGAAGACAAGTGCAACAGTAGCGACATGTGCCAAACAACGGTACAGAAGAGAACCTGTGACTGCAGCCAGTACCACCATACTTACACGCCCAGTTACCAAGTTATGTTTTCTGGAGATGGATGGAGTGGCCGATAGAGTAGGACCAGTTTAAGTGACTTTGCAGCAGTGCAAGGAGATGATTTAATGAACGTTGATATGAACATTGGCTTTGATAGTCATGAACAGTGATTCTAATTATTCCTTTATAACGTTGTGTTTAGTGGTAGTCGGTAGCTTATGGTTGTAAATGAGATTGCTGTCGGTGCATTCTCATTTAGGGGCCAGTATAACTACCGACCGTCATCAGTTTATTTTATTCTATTTGTTTTATTTCCCCCCCTTTTTTTTTGTTTTTATTTGCATATCGGTTCGCACTTCCGGTCACATGATAGTCAT